AATATCCACTAGAACTATTACAGACTGGACGAAACAGAAATTGAAAACAAACGGCACAGACATTCTTTAGAAAAGCCAAGAGTAAATGAGAGAGGTAGAAAATAGGCTTCATTCCTTTTTTGCCTCTAAAATACTCCACGAATTCCCGGGGGAGGGGTCTTGTACTTGCTGAATAATCAATGAAATACCCTTAATTTCTGAACTCTCAAGACGTGGGCCAATCCTTTTAAAACTTTTTTATATGATCTAATATGACATTACAAATAAGGTCAATTGTTGTTATAAAAATCAACTGATAACTTCCACATTCCAATTTTCTTTCTTTCTTTTTTCTTTTGTCATTGTATTTGGCAATTAGCAACATTTTTCGCCAACTGATTCTTTTTCAATCTTGCATAAACTTACCTGAATAATTTCCCAAATTCAGTTGGTATTTCGCTGTCTCGTTTGTCACAGAAAATGAGCTGTACTCGGCAAATACAGTTTTTCCACGAATGTCTTCCAAGACAACAAGGAGTTTATAACCACCACTTACAGTCAGCCGATTTATCTTGTCCAAACCGAGCCAGAACTCACCGTTCAGATTGCCAAAACCGCGTTTGTAATCATCCCAAGCGCGGAAGAAATCAACAGAGCCATCTCGCCTCTTCTGAAACACTGTCCAACCTCCACCGGCAGTTTTCTGATCACAGAACACTTCAAATTCGCCCAGATCATCAGGACAAATTTTATTCACTCCACTGATCTTGGCACCGGACTTGTAGACTTCAGCGCAGTTCTTGTAAACTGAAAACAAAATGATCACTCGATGCGGTAATAATTAGTTTTTGGCTAATATTTCTAGGTGGGTTCTTCGCGTTAAGTTGTTAATCCAAAATAAGAGTTGGCAAACTTAAGAAAAAAAATGTGACACAAAAGCTGAGCTGCAGGAGCCCATCAAATGGGCTTCTGCTGATCATGCGCTGTTAATGCATCATTTAGAGGTCTTTAGACTCAGTTTCAAACATTTGAATTAGCCCTCCCTCTGTTTTGGATTGTGCTTGGATCTAATAAACGAACATCTACTTGACCCATAAAACTTGTTTTAAGAACTCATTAGTAAAATAAGAAAAGTATATCCATCGCATTTTTCGGCGAAGGGTTTTGAGGGCATTTTAGTAGACATTGATGACAATGAGGATCCACTTGCTCATTTGTAGTACTTAACAAATGGCTGAGAAAAAGCCAAGAAAACGGTTGTGGTTTAGTGATTTTTTTGTAAGCATAGCTATGAACTAGGTATGTGAAAGGGTTACCATTTTTCAATAGAGGGTATACGAAAGCTCGTAAGAAAACAAAGTTACTTGAAGCTCAAAATTAAAATCAGTATTGATAGCAAACGTTTTTCAAAGCAAAATGTTTCACCAGACAATGTTTTTCTTTTCGAAACTTTACATATAATATCCAGGAGACGTATTTGTCCGACACAAGCGGTTATTTTGTCACCTACCAGCAATTCATTGAGCAATTTCATCGCTACCATTTCCGCGCTTTGTAGTAACAATGACACCTCAAGTCAAAATTACATCTAACGATAATAAAACGTTTACATAAAGTTCTCTATCAAAACTCTAACGGACCTCTGAGGAAACATAGGCTTTCTTCAACGGGTTCAAAATGGTCACGTCTGTTGGTTGTAATTGGTTTATTTCGATCCATATTGCTGATTTCGTTTGGTAGTAATTAGACTATGATTGAAAACTAACTTTCTCGGAATGTACAGTGGAACCCCGTTAATACGGCCCGTTGGGCCAAAAAAGAATTGGCCGTATTAACGAGGGTTTTTTTTTTTTTTTACAAGAAAATGTATGGCGGTTTTTGTCAGGCAGCCAAAAAAAAGTGGCCCTAAGGTGGCCCTAAGGTGGCCGTAAGGCGGGGTTCCACTGTATTGTTATTTCCCTGTCATCCGATTGGTCAACTTTGTCTAGGTAGCCAGGGTTGTAGTAGTCGCACAGTTATAGTAAAAGGATAAGCCCCGTCAACTGCTCCGTTTTAAGAAACAGCTGTACCATAAAAAGGATTGTATTTTAATTATCACATCACTGTTTACCTAATTTTTCACAGTTTTCTCCATGGTAGCAAGCCGGACAAACACAAACGTATTTCTTCTCAGTATATCCCATGTAGCACGTCCCGTTGTTAACGCAAGGTTTCCTGGCGCAACGATTCTGATTGAGAGAAAACACATTGTACATAAGGCCCTCTGATCTTCGTTCTTGTAAGAACTACAACTATTTTAATAGTCGTTCACTTCTGACCTTTAACAAGTGCCTTGGCATATTTATTTTTTAATTTTTCCGATCTATGCCCAAGGTGCTGGAGACTTGGGGCGCCTTTCATTCAGCCCAAAATTCCGGAAATTTCGGTTAAAGCATCAAATGGAACGGACCATTTCGGTTTGGTCCGACCGGAATATTTAGGACCGGCTTTGAAGGTGGCCCACTTTGACCGGTCCGGTTATCTCGGTCGGTCGGACCGAAACGACCCTTTCTATGTGACAAAATTGTTGTCCCCAGTACCAACCTTTTTTTATCCTGCTTACAAGAATAATAACCAAACGCGCGGTGGCTTGGGTCGGGTCTGTGCAACCGGAACGTACCGTTCCATTGGGCACGTGGAACTTCCGAAATTTCAAACCTGAATTTTTGTTGAATGGAAAGCGCGCTTGTTGTACAGGGTTTCCTGTTTCTCACTGCTTTCCTGCTCGTGGCGACCGACTACGAAGCGGACCATTTCAAGATAAATCCTCTGGTACCTAGGGTGTCCAATCTGTTGACACTTGGAATGAACTCTTTCTGTTCAAATTGCTGACTCATATGCCTACTCAATTCCGCAGTCAGTAGACCCCCGGGGCAAATCCCGTATGTAAATAAAGGGGATGAGGGATGCAGATTGGTCTCACTTAAGGTAGATTTTCACTGCTGCGTCATTAAATTTTAGGCACCTAAATAAAAATAGGGACATTGTATACAGGGCGCACATAACTGACATAAACGTGAAAGGTGGATCTCCCTCAACTTTGACGTTTACGTTCGGCCTTTCATACATTGTTTCTATTTTATTTACCTGCGTACCCACGCAAAAATTACGCGACAGTGGAAATCCACGATCCCTAAGGTGTTCAGGACGGAAAACCAATATTGTTTTGCGCTACGATAAGACGAATCGAGCACCGACACAAAGCGTTGAATATCATATTTGATGACAACAATCACTAAATGTTCCTATAGATTGCCCAAACCCAAGCCCAAACTCTTGGGGACTAAATTCTAATTTTCCGACAAGTACCCCTAACTTATTAATAGTTTTAATGAAAGTCGTTCCCTTGGGAAGCGAGCGTAGAAAGAGGTTGGCCTGGAAAGACGTTTAAAAGGCGCCTGTTCATTCACATTTGATCATGCGTGGCTAGACGAGATGCTGGATCCACAAAGATCTCCACTGTGGCTCCCCAGGACAGTAAGTAGCAGCCTCTTTAGGGCATCGAATGTGATTTTCGAAGCTTTGAAAATTGGGGAGGCACGTTTTGCAACCATACAGAAGAACGCCTGCGGAGGGCGTAAGGGGGGTACAAATACGGCAAAACCGCTCAGAAATACGTATAAACACCGCACAGAATAACATAAGAAAACTGCAAACCGCATTAAAATTACGGTAGCCGAAAAGTTCTGAATACCTCAAACCGCTTGGTTTTGTACTACCGCAATACCGCAACTTAAAAAAAAATTCCCGCAAAACCGCACCAAAAATGGGGCAAAACCGCATCACCGCAAACCCTTAGTTTTTAACAGGCGTAGTTATATGTCTAAAGTTATGGATTGCACGCCGTGCTGACAGAAGGCCGAAACCGATCAGTACAAAACTGCTCTTACAGTTTTTATCTGTTTGAGCTGAAACGGTCTTTCAAAATCATCAATTTCTTTCGCGATCAGTTGAAAGTTAAATTTTGCTGTCAATCTTGTGACGTCATTTTCCCACCAAAAACTGAAATTCAAAATTCTATAACTATGGATACCTAAAGAATTTCAATTTCAACAATCATGCAAAGTTTCAGCTCAAACGGATAAAAATTGTAAGAGCAGTTTTGTACTGATCGATTTCGGCCTCCTGTCAGCCCGGCGTGTGTGAGTACCAGATCTTTTCGAGGCTCTAGAATGCAGACTATGCGAGAGTCATCAGACGTTTGAAGTCGTTGATGTTACTAGCTACCATCGATTCTAAACAGCGGAAGTCGAAGGACTATCTGACTGCACTGGTTCCCTGGACAGGTTAAGGTCATGTAATCTTTTTGTCGTTGTTGATAAGAAGTTCCACACTGGCCGCTGATTCCACAGCTAGGGACATCGGCACCTGAGCTCTTACGATCAGGGAAGATTCTAAAAGTCGGATGTCGCTGGCAAAGTCTGTCATCTACGTACTGCTGGGTGCTTGATTGACCTTTTAGGGTCGGTCAATAGGCCTCTATTAGAATTGTTAACCGTGGCCTAGCACATATTACATAGTCTTAGACGATAATGAAGAGAAATGGACGTCCCCTTGAAGAACGACACCGGTGGTTACTTCAAATCCTTCTGGCATATGGCCATCAACTAATACTCGTCACTTTTAAAATTGTCTTACAAGACTGATTGTACTGACGATGGAAATGCCATAACGGTGAAGTATGCCAAACATAGACTCTCTGTTGATGGAGCAGTAAGAGGCCTTCAGAAAGCCAATAATGGTAACTTTTTTGCTTGGAAGCCTTCGATAATAGGCCTTAGAGTATGAATCTGTACTGTGCACCTGTGCCCATGTCTTAAACAGGCTTGGTTGCGCCAAGCTGAAGAATTTCTTACATTTATCAAGCAGATCTTGATGACTGCTTGGGTCACTACCGTCCCTCTTTTTGACCTGTCTCTTTTTATTAGACAGGCTGTGAGTGATTCTCCAGGCCTTATTCGTCTCTCCCTTTTCGTCTGCTGCTAGAGCTGAACATCTAGATACTTGGCCTGATTAGCCAGGTAAAATACAACCTTCAACCTCTTCCTGGGGGCGGCCCTGTTAAGGAGAGGGTGCTTGATCTTGGCGTCATTTCGGACTTTCCTCAGGTCTTCTGTTTCTTTGGAGACCCAGTTTGCTAAGCCATTTGAGACACACTTCCCAACCGCCTCTTCCACTATGCTACTTGTTATACTTTCCAATTGACTGTACCTGATATTGAGTGCCTCATAAGTGGGAGGGAGGCGAAGTGATTCCGAAGTCTTAGCTGAAATTCTGTTTTCAGTACAGGAAGCGCGAGTCTCTTGAAACTAATTTTTTTGCGATTTACAGGTTTACCATTAATACTTCCAAGACCCACTTTAAGAGTGGCACGTAGGATGCGGTGGTTGGAGTCAATTAACTCTACACTTTGTAATCTCTACAGTTTCTTAGTGAGTTAGGCCACCTACCACTGATGACCAGGATATGGTCAACTTTGACACGAGAGCCCAAAGGGTGGGGAAACCTGGATTGAGCATGTCGTAGGTTGGTTGCAAGGCAAAAGTTAAGACTTCTCTCTCCGTCGTTGTTTGTGGTGTCGTATAGAAGGTGGGGACTCGCTACTCTTGCATAAGCAACTTTCATCATCCAGATTCATGGAACTAAAGGTCCGTGCAACTCCATGACAATCCCACCCGAAAGTGTACCGCACACTTAGCAGATTGGGTCGCTCTAGCTCTAGAGTGTTATTTTTTTATCTTTGACATAAAAATATACTGAAATACAATGAAAACAAACTAGACATACTATGATACGGATGTCATACCTTTGTGCCTCTGTAGTTCCAGTCACGTCTTGGTTTGAGATCTTCCGGATGCTGCAAGTGATCTGAGTTACTGAGCTCACAGGCCATTTTGTTGTCAATGGGGGGACCAATATTATAGGAGAAACACTCCCTGGCTAGCGTGCATTGATCTTGGCAGTCTTGGTTGAGTTCCACGGAGACATTTAAAAACACATGCCCTTCAAGGTAAAATCCGTTATCTGGTGTCAGAAATGTGACGTATCGGTTGTTACGAGCGCATTGACCTTAGAAATAAATTAAAAAAGTTAATCAGTTAAATTGTTGCGGCTGGGTTCCTTGTTTTCTTGTTTCCCGTCCTTTTACATCACGCGATGAGTTTTTTTGCTGTTGTACAGAGTTACTCGATATATCACTTGGAGCGATTCACACGAAGTAACGACGTTTTTAACGCTTGACAACGTATATATCCTTGTTTGTACGGATTGCTTGGTCTTGTCCGACGTACATATATCCCTGGTTGTACGGATTGATTTGTTTCGTCCAAATAAACGCCAGTTTACAAGTGGATTTGCACCTTACATAACTGTTAGTGGTAGTTGAATGCTTGATAGTGAAATTAGCCTGAATAGGAGGTGTTTGAAGGGAAAGAGAAAAGTGAAATTAGGGCACACGATAGTGCTCAAATCTCTTCACGCCGTCCCCACGATCTGAACGCCTGGAACAGCTAAACACATGAGTGCACAAAGGGTTTTGAGCGAGCAGGCTGGGAAACACCCCTTTTGGCATCTGCTGCGGTTTCGATCTTGTCAAGGTGCTATTTGAGGATGACCTATATTCCAATTATCGTGGTAATGATTTCTACCAGTCGGCCGATTGATACCTTGTTCATTTTAACCAACCGTGCTTCTTACACTAAGTATGTGAGTAAAAAACGGGTCAGAATAATAGAGTCCCTTCTCTTCTTTCTAGCGCGTTTCCGTCACTCTTTTCCGCGTCTTCATTTTGCAACGAAGAGCGCTATATTGATAAACACTTACTGCATGGGAGCGGCGAGCTAAGTTGAAATTTCTCAAACAGACTCGCAGAATTTTCAGAAACCCGAAACCATCAGATGGTAGTCACTGAGTTGTTAAATAAGCGTACTGATTACTAAGGGACTGGTCATTATTTATCGCCGGGGGAGGGGAGGCGGAGGATTTGGGGCTAAACAAGGTGAAATTTAGCTGGTCCTCCCCTTTAATGTTACTCCACTGAAATGTTACTTCACTGAAGTGATTCCCCCTAATGTTATTTCTGACGAATGAGCCCGCGAAGAAGACAGAAATAAATATTTTGACGGCACGAGATACAACAGGGCCTGGGTACTAGGCCGGGTGCACCATGGGTAGCCATATCGGAGGTATATAAGGCTGCGTATATCACATGTACGTCATCTAGGCTTACGAACCACCCTCTCTTTGGTTTTCTTTATTTTTGTTTTATTTATTTTTAGGAGCAACATATTCTCGATGACATTGTAAAGTCCCGTAGGAAGGGCTTTGAGCTTGAGCCTTGGTTCCTACCCAGAATTCCTGCCTGCATTTTTTCCTTTCGGGGTTTTTTGGGCAGGTTTTTTCTGGCCTCCGTCTGACCGCATTTACTTCAGTTTGTAAGCGGTAGCTCAGCTCTGCTAGTTTTCAGTTTTTTCCCGTTTCTTATTTTATGTACTTGTACAGTTATCTCAGTTTTGCACCTGCTCCTTTACTTGATATATTTAGTTTCTATGTATGTCTAGGTCAGCTGTCCCGGAACCGCTGTTTAGGAGGCGACATAAGTCTCGTTTGATGCAGTTAGGTTGCAGGCAATGTTACAGACTTCTAGCCAGGGTCGTTATCCATTTGTTTACTTTCAATGTCCTGCCCTAGCCTTTTATGGCAGCCTTACTGGTTATTGGGCTACGTGCCTTGCTGGGTACATTAGTGGAGATAATTCCCAGTTTTCCTGGCACTCAGCCTCTGTGCTCCTGAAGTGTTCCCGTTCCCAGTTATCCGTTGATCAGAGTTTTATTAAATTTCCCCAGCCTAACTGGCACTTAGCCTGCGTGCTTCTTTGGGGGACTCAGGTCGAGATCGACCAGTTGTAGCAGATCTCTCTTTTGCTTAGCCTCTGTGCTCCTACCGTGTTCCCTGTGCCAGTTATGCGTTGTCAGAGTTTTATTAATTAGTTTCCCCAGCCTAACTGGCACTAAGCCTGCGTGCTTATTTGGGGGGATTTAGGTCGAGATCGACCAGTTATAGCAGTTTCTTTTTTTTGCTTAGCCTCTGTGCTCCTACCGTGTTCCCTGTGCCAGCTATATGTTGTTAGAGTTTTATTAATTAGTTTCCCCAGAATAACTGGCAGCCTAACTGGCACTAAGCCTGCGTGCTTAACTGGGTGATTCAGGTCAAGAGCGACCATTTGTAGCACTAGTTTTCTCTTTTTGTGAAAGCTAGTTTACGAGTGTTGTACATTAGGTATTCACCAGTAATCACCTATTATTGTATTTACATAAGTACTTTGTAGGGTTGGTTCTCGCCAAGCCGTCCCAAAATAAACTTATTTGCCATTACGTTTTGTCTGTTGATGTTGTGTAGTGGAGTCAAAATATCCCATTTGCTGACTTTCGCGACCCCCCCCCCCATTGTCTTCATTTTCCAAGCAAATTTTAGTGGTCTCCCCTCTGAATCCTTCAGTTTGCAGTGATCTCCGCTTTTGGGTTCTTAGTTACGACTGATCCCCTCTTTTGTTCTTCTAAAAATCAAGTGACCCCCTAAAAATACCCCCCCCCCTAGGCGATAAATAATTACCGGTCTCTAATTTTATTGACTTCTCTGGCCATCCCTATTAAAGCCTCGCACAAAAAGCCTAAAGTTTTCCGTGATGCCGAATTTATGATTAGAAGGCTAACTTTCCTTTTTTTCTACTGCGCTGCGGAAATACGCACTTTTTTTCAACACCAGTAATTAGTGCTATTGAGGTTGGAGAAACCGTCCTGTTAATAAGCTACCCCTTTGAAAGTAAATCGTTAATGAAAAAAGTTGTAAATGATCAGAAAGCGATAGAAAAAATAATATGCATCTACAGAATAGAGCCAATGGTGCAGTTTTTGCAACTTAAAAGCCCCATAAAACAAATCACCTGCGGCACAAAAAGGTAGAGATATTGACACATAAGAATGGCCCAAAATTAACATGCCATTGTATTCTTTGTATGTTTCCTCCCTCAAGACGCAGCTTAAATAGAGATATACGGGATTCCTTCCCCAAATTGTTTTATTGTGTCTTCAACAAAATTTTAACTTCGTTAAAGCAGATTACTTTTCCGCAAGCCAAATTCCTCAATATCACAAAAGTTTTGCGAGGTGCGGAATTTATGATTAGAAAGCTAACTTTCCTTTTTCTCTACTGCGCTGCGGAAATATGCACCTTTTTCTCAACACCAGTAATTAGTGCTATTGAGGTTGGAAAAAGCAGTCTTATATATGAGCCACCCTTTTGAAAGTGAATCGTTTAATGAAGAGAAATTGTAAAAGATCAGAAAGGAATAGAAAAAAAAATATATGCACCTACTGGTGCAGTTTCTGCAACTGAAAAGCCACATAAAAAATCACCTGCGGCACAAAAAGGTAGAAATATTGCCACATAAGAATGACTCAATATAAACAATGACTGATATGTAAATCTTTTGTATACAGGGACTTGGTGGTAACGTTCAATTGTATTCTTTGTTTTCTCCCTCAAGACGCAGCTTAAATAGAGATATACGGGATTCCTTCCCCAATTTGTTTTATTGTGTCTTCATCAAAATTTTAGCTTTATTAAACCAGATCACTTTTCCGTAAGCCAAACGTAATTCCCAAAAGCGTTTGTTAAAAATTGGACGTTAATTAGATTTGGAGCATTTCAGCACTGGTTGATGCAAAGTGAGATTTTTTCGTATTGTTGGTTCGCCTTTTTTTCGATCAATGATATGTAAGAACCTCTTCAAATATTTGAGGACGCTGACTGGCCGGTAAAAATTAACGTACGATTAGCCCCATAAAAAGGTAGAAATTTTGACACATAAGAATGACCAAATATAAACAACGTCTGATATGTAAATCTTCGAGACAGGAACTTGGTGGTAATGTTCCATTGTATTATTTCTATGTTTTCTCCCTCAGGACGCAGCTTCCTTCTCCAATTTATTTTACTACGTAGTCAAAACAATTTTAACTTCATTAAACCAGATCACTTTTCCGTAAGCCAAACGTAGTTCCACGGAGAGATTTAAAAGCACGTGCCCCTCAAGGTAAAATCCGTTATCTGGTGATGGAAATGTGACGTATCGGTTGTTACGAGCGCATTGACCTTAGAAAGAAATTCAAAAATTAATCAGTCAAATGTTTAGTGGTAGTTGAATGTTTGATAGTGAAATTAGCCTGAATAGGAGGTGTTTGAAGGGAAAGAGAAAAGTGAAATTAGGGCACACGATAGTGCTCACATCTCTTCACGCCGTCCCCACGATCTGACCGCCTGGAACAGCTAAACACACGAGTGCACAAAGGGTTTTGAGTGAGTAGGCTGGGAAACGCCCCTTTTGGCCAAATGTTTCATCTGCTGCGGGTTCGATCTTGCTAAATTGCTATTTGAGGATGGCCTATATTCCAGAGGATTTAGGGCTACACAAGGTGAAATTTAGCCGGTCGCCCCTTTTAATGTTACTCCACTGAAATGTTACTTAAAACATTTGATGACTTTCGCGATCCCCCCACCCATGTCTTCATTTTCCAAGCAAATTTTAGTGGTTCCCCCTCTGATTCCTTCAGTTTCCAGTGATCCCCCCTTTTGGGTTCTCAGTTACGACTGATCTCCTCTTTTGTTCTCCTAAAAATCAAGTGATCCCCCCCAAAAATCCCCCCCATTAGGCGATAAATAATGACCGGTCCCTAATTTTATTGACTTCTCTCTGGCTATCCCTATTTAAGCCTCGCACAAATGCAAAAAGCCTAAAGTTTTGCGCGGTGCCGAATTTATGGTTAGAAAGCTAACTTTCCTTTTTCTCTACTGCGCTGCGGAAATACGCACGTTTTTTCAACACCAGTAATTAGTGCTATTGAGGTTGGAGAAACCGTCTTGTTAATAAGCTACCCTTTTGAAAGTAAATCGTTAATGAAAAAAGTTGTAAATGATTAGAAAGCCATAGAAAAAAAATATGCATCTATAGAATAGAGCACACTGGTGCAGTTTTTGCAACTTAAAAGCCCCACAAAAAATCACCTGCAG